CATACCCAGTTGAGTGACCTTTAGGGGGCCGTGCATACCAGGTGGTGTGACCTTTAGGGAGTCATGCATACCAGGTGGTGTGACCTTTAGGGAGACATGCATACCAGGTTGTGTGACCTTTAGGGAGACATGCATACCAGGTTGTGTGACCTTTAAGGGGTCATGCATACCAGGTGGTGTGACCTTTAGGGAGTCATGCATTACAGGTGGTGTGACCTTTAGGGGCATGCATACCCGGTGGAGTGACCTTTAGGGGGCCGTGCATACCAGGTGGTGTGACCTTTAGGGGGTCATGCATACCAGGTTGTGTGACCTTTAGGGGGTCATGCATACCAGGTGGTGTGACCTTAAGGGGCATGCATACCCGGTGGAGTGACCTTTAGGGGGCAGTGCATACCAGGTGGTGTGACCTTTAGGGGGGTCATGCATACGAGGATGTGTGGCCTTTAGAGGGTCATGCACACCAGGATGTGTGACCTTTTAAGGGGTTGTGCACACCAAGATGTGTGACCTTTCGGGGTCATGCATGAGGCCCATTTACAAGACACTAACCTGTTCTACAATTTGGACTTTCTTTGTATTTCTGTGCAGCACAAACAAGGACCACTGCAGCATGCTCTACTGCTTCGGCCATGGCTTCCAGCGTAGACCCACCCATGTATTCAACGTCTATCCAAACGTTGTAACCTGCTTCCTATCACAGAAAAGAAAATACAGTAGAGTTGATGACAGTGGGTATGGAACACTATTAACAACACTAAATACAAGTCGAAGGCTCTCTCGATCTCATCGTCATAATGGCGGCCATTTGCGTTTATTACTAACCTATGGAGTAAAAAAAAGAAGGCGCTGTTTGTATGATACTGTAAAACATGTCTTTTACGTGAATTTAGCTGGAAAACTAATTCCCTAATTTAAGATGTCGCTAATGACTTCATTATAAATTCGAAACGGTGGCCAAACAACGTCTTTTTCTCCACATACACACTTTGTAAACACAGAAAACATAATAATCTGGAATGCTTCCTTATTACACTTGACAGTTTTTTTTTGTTTTTATGGAGGTGATAACTGAGCATTTGTTTTGGCAGGCGACGGACAAATATTGTGAAAACAGGAAATCAACAAAGACAAGAGAAATTCGCTAAATCAACATTTCGCTTACTTCTTTTTTACACAATTCGCTAAAAATAGTATGTCGCTTTTTTAACATGTTTACAGTAACTATATTAAATTCCCAATGAGTTCTGTTTCCTGGGACTCCAACAATGTATACCTATACCTTACCTTTAAGTCTGTTGCTATTTTCAGAACTGTTTCCTGTGACCCCCATTGATAACTAATCATCACGTGAGGTTGAATGAATTTACCACTTCGACTGTTGTAACCTGGGAACAACAAAAATCAGCAAGTGTCACTCAGTTGAAATCAAATTTTTTTTTCTTCATCTATAAGTATAGAAAATTTCAAAATAGACCATTTTCCGTTCACTGCGAGAATCACGCGTTATGCGTGAAATCAAACGTAAAAACAGGACAAACAAAGGTCATAGTGGTGTCAAACATCGCGTGGGATTCGACAAACGCGAACATATTTTGGTGGCATTTCCATGCTTAATAATGTGCTGTACACATTTGATGATGGACAATTTCGATTAAGCAATATTCCTCTGTCGAAGATTGGCCGGTCGATGTGAGCTACGAAATAAAGAAATTCGAGTTCAAAATCAAATCGTTCGATTTTTGCGGCAGAAGTTCGACGTGTGTCTTTCATGCATCTCGCAAGATCTCGCAGTTGAACGGAAAATCACTTATTGCATTAAAATTTTTCGCAAAAATATAAATTAAAGTTATTGGTAAAAGGTGATGCAATTATTGCCATGGAAACAAAAGACTCAAACTAACGTCTTGTTGGTGGTCGATCATCACGTCCAATGACCCACAATGCACCATTGGCAGCTGTCTTAACTTTATCACTTCCTGTTCTGCTGAGTTGCTGCAAGGCTAGGATGCAGTCTCCATTGTCTTTTATCTTCATTCGTACTGTGTCATCAAACGTGAGATTCCAGAGGGCGTTGGCCGCGGCAACCTGCTCTAACGGCTCCACACGCTTCAACATCTCAACTAATAGCGGCAATGCCCCTGCTGCATCAATCTGTCAAGTAAAGTGTGCCTTTAATCATGGTATTGATGTTAATGGTCAAGTAAAGGCTACGCTTGGTAGGGTGGCTAGGGTGATATAATATGCTAATTTTGTCACTATGGTGACAGTCTATACTAGTGCAGTCACTATGGTGATAATCTATTCTAATATTGTCACTATGGTGATATTCAATGCTAATAAGGTCACTATGGTGATAACTAGGCTAATATTGTCACTATGGTGATATTCTATGCTAATAAGGTCACTATGGTGATAACTATGCTAATATTGTCACTATGGTGATATTCTATGCTAATAAGGTCACTATGGTGATAACTATGCTAATATTGTCACTATGGTGATATTCTATGCTAATAAGGTCACTATGGTGATAACTATGCTAATATTGTCACTATGGTGATATTCTATGCTAATATTGTCACTATGGTGATAACTATGCTAATATTGTCACTATGGTGATATTCTATGCTAATGTGATCATTATGTCATTGAGACATTCTTACCTTAGTTTTGTTGCTATCATTGACTGCAAGGTGTCCTAACCCTTGTGCTAACTCCATAGATGAGAACCCCTCGGCTCTACCAGTCGGCGAACACAGAGCGTCTCGCAGCAACTTGGCAATAAACTCAATGGCACCTGAAAACAGGCAAAAATCACATTTAAAATAATTTTTTTCAATAATATCTTGTGATACCTAATAGTTCAAGACACTGATTTTCATTAATTCTCTTCTGCCTTTAGGTGCGAACAGTGCATATCTATGTCTGGAACTGCATGACAAGCAATTGTGTGAATATATCTCCAACAACTGACACAGAGCAACAGAGCTGAACATGAATGGCACTTGACATTTGAATTATTGAAACTTTGCCAAGTTAATCTTTGAAATTCAAAAAAAATTCACTGTATGCTTATTAGAGATATTACGTTTGCCTTTTCTGGATCCAATATATTGAGAACAAATATTTCCGCCACGGATATTTTGGCCTGGAGAATTTAATTTCAGTCTTGGGGTTTACTAGGGTGGACGTATTTTGGCCATGGAAAAAATGGTGCTCACAACTCAATCCACAATATTAACACTTATTCTTCGTTTGCAGGATTTTTTTGTCATGCATTGATAGAAATATAAATAGTGTAGTACATCGTCATCATGTAAGCATGAGTGTCAAGGTGTATGTATGTGTACGAGTGTAATTTCAACGTGATCAGTCAAGGCATGTCTGGTATACAGGTACAGATGTACACACAGACATACCAGTGTTCGGTTTAACTAAAGTACTAAACTAAATCGGACAGCATAATAACTAAGATAGAAGGTAGTGGACATCATAATAACAAAGATAGGGAGTGGTGGACACCATAATCACTAAGATAGAGAGTAGTGGATACCATAATAACTATCATAGAGACTGGTGGACAAATTAATAACTAAGATAGGGAGTGGTGGACACCATAATAACTAAGATAGGGAGTGGTGAATGTTGTGATAGCAAAGATAGAGAGTGGTGGACACCATAATAACTAAGATAGGGAGTGGTGGACACCATAATAACTAAGATAGGGAGTGGTGGACACCATAATAACTAAGATAGAAAGTGGTGGACACAATAATAACTAAGATAGGAAGTGGTGGACACCATTATAACAAAGATAGGAAGTGGTGGACACCATAATAACTAAGATAGGGAGTGGTGGACACCATAATAACTAAGATAGGGAGTGGTGGACACCATAATAACTAAGATAGAAAGTGGTGGACACAATAATAACTAAGATAGGAAGTGGTGGACACCATTATAACAAAGATAGGAAGTGGTGGACACCATAATAACTAAGATAGGGAGTGGTGGACACCATAATAACTAAGATAGGGAGTGGTGGACACCATAATAACTAAGATAGGGAGTGGTGGACACCATAATAACTAAGATAGGGAGTGGTGGACACCATAATAACTAAGATAGGGAGTGGTGGACACCATAATAACTAAGATAGGGAGTGGTGGACACCATAATAACTATCATAGGAAGTAGTGGACACCATAATAACAAAGATAGGAGTGGTGGACACCATAATAACTAAGATAGGAAGTGGTGGACACCATAATAACTAAGATAGGGAGTGGTGGACACCATAATAACTAAGATAGGGAGTGGTGGACACCATAATAACTAAGATAGGGAGTGGTGGACACCATAATAACTAAGATAGGGAGTGGTGGACACCATAATAACTAAGATAGGGAGTGGTGGACACCATAATAACTATCATAGGAAGTAGTGGACACCATAATAACAAAGATAGGAGTGGTGGACACCATAATAACAAAGATAAGGAGTGGTGGACACCATAATAACTAAGATAAGGATTGGTGAACACCATAATAACTAAGATAGGGAGTGGTGGACACCATAATAACTAAGATAAGGATTGGTGAACACCATAATAACTAAGATAGGGAGTAGTAGACACAATAATAACTAAGATAGGGAGTGATGGACACCATTATAACTAAGATTATGAGCAGTGGATACTGCAATAACAAAGACAAGTTGTGGACACCCTAACTAAGGTTTTCATGTACTGTACACATGCTAAAAAAGTGAAAAATAACAAAATAAAAACAACTAGTCTTAGTGCAAGTACAACATGCAGATATTTAGACTGCTTAGCAGTATTCTGTGACCACACAACAAACTGTAACAAACCAAACTACATACATATACCAACATTAAGAAGAAAAACATGCAAACAATAAGAATAAACACCACCTTTAAACCCATAAAGTCCTTCAAATCTATCTTAAATGCAAATATTGGTGTGTATGCAAACGTTTTTAACAAATATTGTTATATTGCAATAAACTATAAACTTAGAAGGGCCATGTTTTGGGGATAGAAAGCTAGGGAGCTTTTAGTTTTTATGCAATAGTCGTAGAACTATTTTTATAACCTATTTTTGAGTTTGATTGACAATGTTACCTTTTCCGATTCTAACCGCATCTGGTTCATCACCGCCATTACTGGCTTTAGAAATTAAAATGAAAAGATATAAAATGTGAGTTAATAAATCATGCATAGGTTAAGGGGTCTCTCACATGACCAAGCCTCATTCTGGTGGAAAAAGATGTCCCTAAAATGGTGATAAGTAATGTCATGCAATGTTGAAACTTGCTGTCAAGTTGAACTTGGTGAACATGCAAACAAGGTCTTCTCTGATTGGCTTGCCAGTGAGGAGTTCAAACTAGGTAGCCAATCAGGTGCATTGTCATTCTTACTGTCAGTAAACAAGCAAGGTGCTCTCTGATTGGCTTGTCCAAGCATACTAAAAACTATGAAGAAAAGAACTATTTTTTAATAAAATAATTTGCATAATTATTCAAGCCTAGTTTTGCATACTAATAGGATCATTTGCATAATGTGTCAATCCATTTCACAACTCACTGATAATGTATAATTAATCTAATCTATTTTGCATATTGATATATTTACATAATTCAAGCCAACTGTACATGCTAATGAAGTAATTTGCATAATATCTCCAGACAATTTTCATAATTATTTACACCAACTTTACTTGTAATTATTTCAGAATACTTTGCATATTTATGAGAAATTTGCATAATCATTCAAGTCTACTTAGCATCTCAGGAAATTTGCATAATTATTCACGCCAACTTTGCATAATGAAATAGTTTACATAACTATTTCAGCCCACATTGCATATTTATGAGAAATTTGCATAATCATCCAAATCTACTTAGCATCTCAACATAATTTACATAATTATTCACGCCAACTTTGCATAATGAGATAGTTTACATAACTATTTCAACCCACTTTGCATATTTATGAGAAATTTGCATAATAATACAAATCTACTTAGCATCTCAAGAAATTTGCATAATTATTCACGCCAACTTTGCATAATAATGAGTTAATTTACATAACTATTTCAGCCTACTTTGCATACTCCTGAACCAAATTGCATAATTATTTAAACTTGTTTTGCATACTAATGAGAAGATTTACATAATTATCCAAACACCTACCTTGATCAGTAATGACATGGTTTTCATGCTCTTCAATAATATACGCTAAAGTCATCATAGCTAGAGCCTTCAAATATGCATCACATTGTGTATAGTACTTTATTTTATCCACAGCCTTCTCTTGACGGAAATAATGTCTAATGCTGGGTTCCTTGGCCATATTGTGAAGGATATTGAGTGATGACTTAACAAGGTACATTATATTCTGAAAGAAAATAAACATGCACAAGACATGAAAGTCACAGTCCTCGTCATTTAATTATAAAATACTCATGTTAAAATAATACATGGAACATCTGCAAACAATTGAATTAATATGTACTCTATGTGGGTGCAACTCATCATAAAGTGATTCCCTCAATCTAGTATTGTACTGATAGCTGAACACTTCCATTGACCCATGTCCAAAATCTCAGAGTACACAAGTGCAACCAAACTATGTCTCACACATGCATAGATGTTCAAGAATCTGCATTCATAAATCTGAGTAAACCTTGATGTACCTTTAATAACTTTATTTCTTTGTTAATTCAGGTCTTTGTATGTTACTAGGACCTGGGTTTGTTTCAGTATCACCACTATAATTCCCATCAAAATGTAGCCCTGACACCCCTCTACAGTTTCCACTGGGATTTGTAATGGTACGACCCACTAGCCCTGGCAACTGAAGCCACATGTGTCAATGGCCAAGATTTACAAACAGTAACAAAACAAAAACCAGACTGTCGTCTATTTCTGTCACTGATTCAAATCAAGGTCATGACATCACTGAAAACCCTAGCATTACAATCTAAGCTAATTATTTATTCTGAGCATGGTCAGTTGTTCTCTCTGTGTTGCTGGGATAGGTAATTTTGGATGAAAATCATGAAAAAGACCCACTTAGGATTTTCAGATCTGGAAACAAAATTATGTGCATATTAAGCAGGGACTTGTTCATCAACCTTCTGCTGCAGAAATTCTGAGAAAATGTTAGAGATGTCACACACGGAAACCGGAAACAAGAAACTATACTCCCCTTTTCAGGCTGCACCTGAAACAGGGACTAATAATAGTAGAATCCTCTGAACGACTTGAGTTTAACCCACCAACAAGGCTGATACAACAACTTCCTGGTGAGCTACACGCTGTGTTGTGCATTATATTTCTTGATTTAAAACGGTATCAACTTAAAACAACATCACCAAGCACATACTGTGGTCATTAGACTCACAGATTGTCATACAGTGATTGAATAATCACGGCAAACAGGATCTATCTACCACGCACAATGTCTAACGCAACACCTGCTCCACAGAAGAAAGCAAAGAAACTAAAGCCAGACAAAGAAGTAAAAAAAAAGGATGCCCCCCCCCCCAAAAAAAAGAGAGCGAACAATGGCATGCTTGCAAACAAACCAAATTTATACAGTAACAACGAAACAGTCGTAAGTTCAATAAAAATCACGAAAATCGTTGGGTAAAGGCATTCTTTTATACGCTAAGACATTAAAAATCACATAAAACCTACTGTGTCACATGACATACCTTTTGTTTCAAGTTGAGTTGATATGGTTGGTGCGCCACGTTCGTTAGACAGATTCGTATCATGCCGTTCTCACCGTAACTCTTACACAGTGCCAGACTAACGTCACTAAAATTCCAACACAGTGTGTAGACGTAGTACGCTGTAAACCACGCTCCATTCGTCTTGAATAGACCTTGACGAGATAAATTGTTGATCATTTTCACACACAGCGCTGCAAAACAAGTATTTATTCCAAAAATGAATATTATGTATACTATATATTACCAGAGATACATTACTTGGGTTTTGCAACTCGCATAGTACTGTATGGTGACATCATGTCAAGATCCCATTCAAGTCTCTTCTCGTAGATAGCGAGACTGAGGCCACGACCTTCTGACATGACACATATCAATGTTCAAGGTTTGTAATGAAAAAATAAAACTTTTCTTGCCACTATCGTAGTGAAAAATGTAATACATCGAAAATGTACAGAAAATATAGTTCTCGTAATCCGTCATATCGTGGGCAGCTATTTTGATCCACCTGGACATCCCAGTATCCTAGTTACCTTGGGCATGCGCATTTTGAGTTGGAATGCTTATGCGAGACTGAGATTGTAACGGGATATTGGTATCATGTCACCGTAGTTGCAAACCCCAAGTAATGTACGTCTGATATTACATATTGTGAAATACTTTATTTTCGCTGGAATTAATTTTCACTGAAAAGACTTTTTGGGTGTTTTGTATGGAATTTATTGTCACTGATTTTTAATGAGTTGAATGTGAGAAATAGGAAAAAAAGTATATTCGCTGGATTTTATTTTCACTGAAGCATCCTTTCAGCGAAAATAGCGAAAATAAATTCCAAGCGGAAATAAAGTATTCTACAGTACTAGGTATTAAACTCATGATCGCGTGATGGCCCGGTCATATAAAACAAGTAATTGTTAATGACATAGTCCCTGTTAGAATTAGGGGAGTGTTATTTATGCTAAAAATGAAAGAATATGGACCAAAAGCGTAGTTAGTAATTGAGAGTGAATAATTTGCTGGTCTAGTATCAACTAGTGCAATAAACAGGTACAATAAATGATTTTTCTGAAATTGAAATATATGGTCAGAAATTAAATATGCATTTTTGTATCCCAACTGAATTTCACTTGTCCAGGCTCATGTACAGAGATATATTAGTATGGTCAAGAAGCAAGATTGCAGTCAGTCAACCATCTTTTTCATCCACTTGTCATGGACACATGTATTAACATGTATAATGTCAATGATACATTCTGAAAAAACAAGATGGCTGCTAGTTTGTCTCGAACATGAAACGAATCATCACAGACATGTATTTCAACATGTATAATGCTCGTATCAAATTTAAACATCTTTGATCAGATTATCGGCAAGAGTTCCTTTTGTACCCCCTATCCCTAACTTTAACTCTGCCACTCACTCCCAGTTACCCAATTCATTTGTATATGCCCCCTTTAGATAACTATAGATGTTCTTAAGAGGGGCATGTACAATTTAATGGGGGGTGCTGGAGGGTAGGGTTAGGCTTAGGGATGGGGGTACAAAAGGAACTCTTTCCAGATTATCTTACAAACTGATATGATTATGTATTCCTATATGTATGATACATGTGCAAAATATGAATGAAAATGGTCCAAAAGCTTTATACCGTTGGTACCGTAAAAATCATAATTTGATAAAAATCATAATCATAACTTGAGACATTGTTTCTTGTTGAAATTGACAAGTTTGGATCCCAGGAAAACCCTGCAATATAAGTCACACCACAAACTTTCACATGCATGTGTGAAACAAACCAAACAGCCACTACATATTTTAGAAAGATATATATCTTGTATAATCTCTAATTTAGGTGTCACTTTTCGAACATTTCAATCTTTTCTGACGCCTAGATTAGACTAGACCAGTTTAGACAGGTTTTAACTGGTTTACATTTGGACAGATTTCCAGTTTACAATGGTTAGACCAGTTTAGACAGGTTTTAACTGGTTTACATTTGGACAGATTTCCAGTTTACAATGGGCTAGACCAGTTTAGACAGGTTTTAACTGGTTTACATTTGGACAGGTTTTCCAGTTTACAATGGGTTAGACCAGTTTAGACATGTTTTAACTGGTTTACATTTTGATAGATTTAAAGTTTACAATAAGTTAGACCAGTTTAGACAGGTTTTAATTGATTTACATTTGGACAGATTTCCAGTTTAAAATGGTTAGACCAGTTTAGACAGGTTTTAACTGGTTTACATTTGGACAGATTTCCAGTTTACAATGGGCTAGACCAGTTTAGACAGGTTTTAACTGGTTTACATTTAGACAGGTTTAAAAAACAATGATCATCATGCAGCGCATCTTCAAATTTCATGTAAACAAATGTATTTTACTTGTGTATGTCGCTGCGAGTCCTATATCGAACAGAACATGGCATGATGACCACTGCCTTTCAAACAGAAGTGACAATGTATTTATTTAATCGACATCCTTACCTGCCCCATTCCTCTCCCGAAATAAGTCAGCGAGTTCTTCTCGTTCATCTGGATAGTCCCAGTAACAATCACCAATGGATTTTATCAGATCTTTGCACCCTCGGTTACTGTACTCCATCATTTCGTTAAGTTTAGCCAGCGCTTTCATCATTCGTGTATTCCCGTCTTCTTTAACTACTTTCTCTGTCTCACCGAGTTTAGGATCCTGAATTTTGTTAAGAGCGTCCACCACAGTGACATCTGCGTTACTGTCAACTGTTTGGGGTGCAGTACCCGAAGTTGTGAGGTCAGTCGGTGTACTTACTTTGTCGCACATATCGACCGAGTCTAAACATTTTTTCGTCACCTTGCTATCTTTAACATTGATATTGTTGAACCCTGTCACCTCCCGATGTGGATTCGCTCCACCATCGGTTTTTGGCATTTTTGTTGCGATATTACTACCGTCTTCGTGGTTGTTCTCTTCATTCTCGTCTCGTTCACGTTTCTTTGTCTGCAGCAAGCCCATTGGCTGCCCTACATTACAGACTTTGCACAGTCTCTCCGCCACACCCTTTGCAACATGCGAACAGCATGGACGCTGAACCGTTCCAGCATTACGGTCAAATATCGTCAGATTATTCTGTTCGTCTGTGACCACGATATTTGGGAGGGGCTTAGGGAAAAATTGGCTGACTTCGTGTTGGGTTTCCATGGTGATTTATCATTTATATGCATAGTTACTGTCTAAGGAGCTATAATATTTCAAAATTTCATCAGGTCAGGAAATATACTTCTGCAAAAAATTAAAAAAGAATTATTCAAACAAGCATGACATCCTTTAACCTTTTCACCACCAGTTCCCTCTTTTCATCACAAAATTAACAAAATAGTTCCATTTTTAAGTGTAAACTGAAAATTGACTAAAATTTTGTCTGTTGGCTCCAAAATTAAGGTTCATTTCCAAAAATATTTAAGAATATAAGAAAAAAGTGCAGAAAAATTTGGTCTGGTGGTTAAAAGGTTACGTATTAAGTCATAACATTGTGAGTGATATGACTTTGAAACAGCATTCAACAAAACAAACAAAAATGGCTGCCAGCCAGACATTTTAAATCTGATCTAAAAATCAAAATGCATCAAGTGCATCATGGTTCTACAAAATGTTTTGGTGAAATATAATTTTTTATCAATGCCATTGTTGTTTAAATTCAGAAATTTTCTGGCAGAATGTACAACATGTACCATAAAATTTGAATTTGAATTTGAATTTGAATTTGAAGCCACATCCCTAATTGAAGTCGCCTCATTCTTTTTGAACAATTGAGAACCAAAAATTCATCATTTCTCATATTTGTAGATGTTTTAATAGAAGCCGCATCTCCGTTGCATTGTACCATTTTAATAGAAGCCGCGGTTTCTAATACAGATTTTACCTTACATGTCAAAGCCAACATTTGTGGGAATTTTTGGCTTCTCTATACAAGTGTACAACTATGTGCATTTTATGTTGTTGTTGTTTTTTCTATAATAGTTGTTAATTTTGGATCAAATTGACATAGTTAATCAGGTGGGGGTGGGGGGTTTACCATCAAAACAAGCATCTAACCTAGACTACCCCATTAGTCTCATCGGTCCTTCTTCTTTCATAACATAAACTACAATCAATCTACAATGAAATCTACGTCGTAATGGATTTCTTTTCACAACGATGTGAAGTACTGCCAATCTCACTTGTCACATACATGTTTTCAGCGTAAGCAATCAACACTCCCATTCACATGAAGGCTATATATCACTCTGATTTTAGAGAACTATGAAAATGTCATGGCAACGCATAATTATTCCTAAATCGTTAATAAAGCTGTTCTTCTTCTTACTTTTTATTTTTTAAATATTTTTGAGACAGGCAACTGTCTGATGTGTCTGTCAACGTTTGTTGTGTGCAAATTGAATTCACAAGTACCGGTAGTGACAATTCTCGGGCGCGGACATCCGGGCATTTTCACCGCCTGGCAACCATCGTGGTGAAAACAAAGGCCAAAAACTCACAGAAAACGGTACTTTGGGATGGTTGTTGAGACTCCCCTGAACAGTGTTAACAAGATTAGCCCTACGCGTGTAACATATATAAGTTTGGTTGTTCAGGATTACTCCGAAGTTGAGTTTGTGTTGTTTTCTCGAATTTTCACAGCAGCGCGCAAAGAGCCCGTAGAAATGCATGGTACAGTGGTGTGCGCCTTAGCAACGTGGAACGTCTTGTGACGTAGCCCCGCTCCCGAGGATACAGTTATTTCTAATTGTTTATGTTTATTTCTAAAACATATTAACTTTATTGTAATCAGTTTAATACCCAAAAGAGGGTACAATGTCAATAAAGTTCACTTTACTTGACATGTAGTGTATTTTGCCGCGGAAACCATGCATGTGTATTCCATGTTGTGAGCCAGAGCACAGACACTTGCCATCCCAAGTGATTTCTAAAAATAAATTCAGTTACTGAATAACCATGTACAAGTTTGAAGGGAAGTTTGTTAGCACACATCCAGAAAAAGGTTATTCTTCTTACAGTAACATATGCGTAGTGTATTTTGCCGCGGAAACCATGCATGTGTATTCCATGTTGTGAGCCAGAGCACAGACACTTGCCATCCCAAGTGATTTCTAAAAATAAATTCAGTTACCGAATAACCATGTACAAGTTTGAAGGGAAGTTTGTTAGCACACATCCAGAAAAAAGTTGTTCTTCTCACAGTTACATATGCGTAGTGTATTTTGCCGCGGAAACCATACATGTGTATTCCATGTTGTGAGCCAGAGCACAGACACTTGCCATCCCAAGTGATTTCTAAAAATAAATTCAGTTACCGAATAACCATGTACAAGTTTGAAGGGAAGTTTGTTAGCACACATCCAGAAAAATGTTATTCTTACATGTAACCTTGGTGTGTGTATAGTTTTGATTCATAAATAACAGCACTAAACACAAGGTGTGACAATATATATACAGTAAAATACTTTTATTATTTTAGTTGGGATTAATTTTTGCTGAAAAGATTTTTCGGGTGTTTTGTATGGAATTTATTTTCACTAATTTTTGATGAGTTAAATGTAAAATATATAAGAAAAGGTAGAAATTGCTGGATTTTGTTTTCTCTAAATCATTCCTTCAGCGCAAATAGCGAAAATAAAGTATTTTACTGTAGTGCATTTTGCCAATGAAATCATTCTACATTTCATATATCCATCCTGAGTGATTTTGAAAATATTTCACTGACACAGTGGAAAAAAACTTAGTGAAGGAAAACAATATTTTGCGCAGTTTTTTCTGCCACCCCCCCCAGTCTCTAATGGTACATCCCTTAAAGTTTCATTCACACTTTGTAAATACGCAAAACATCACTCTCAGAGTAAGCTAAAAACTTTAAAATTTGTAAAAATATTATACATTAAACATTACCCTGCTCTCACTTTTATTATTTCATTTTTTGAGAGTGCTAGAGGGTCTTATCCATTAGACATACTTACAATGTAACAGAACTTCAACAACAAACAAAGCCTCCAAAACTCAATGATAGTTCACAAACTCGCTCAAATTCATATTCTGCACTTAATTTCCCATTACCCATCCGTAATCTCAACATTTCACAGAGGAATGTACCTCACAGATTTTAAAATTGAAAATATAATTATTTCACGGAAATCATTATTGAAAACAGAGACACTCAACTCACAGTAGCTACATGATCCATCAAACGCTACGGTGTTGACAGCGTCTTGATATTCTCTGATAGACTGTGCTATTAATCCTTCGCAGACATCATTGTTACCATAGCAACACTGATCAGATGACAAAAGGTTGTAACAATGGCTCATCAAGGCATCGAGTCTTCCTGTGGAGACAGCAGAAAATTAGCAATTTAGATTTAGTCTCGTCTGTTCAAGGTCTTTGCGAACTTGAAACCAAGCAGCAGAATGGTTAGCGAGAATCTGTAATAAAACATGTGAGCATTGTAAATCAGAGTCAAACCTTACTCAATTATTGACCATTTTTTTAAAGACTCATTAGCAGGTCCCTGAACTGTTATTTGATCCACTACCTGAATGTATCAATAAAACCTCAACGTGGTTCACATGACAACCACTGACCTTTAAATGTTTAATGTGTTTTTTTCCATCATATTGCATAATTCCAAGACAACCTGCCCTCACCTTTCCGCCCATTTTATTTTGAGAGTACTTTAGGGTACTTGAGGGATTTTTTCTTCTGTTTGTCAACATGAGACCAATAGCAGCCCATAATAAAATAGCAATTTTTCAAGCTGATCGTTCAAATGATCTTTTTATTGACATTTTGATGGGGAATTTAATTGTAACCATTATAAAGGGTAGAATACATTATTATCATGGTAAAGCAAGTTTGACATTTTTTTTGGGGTATATACATGATAATGTGAGCAGAATATGTTAAAGAAATAAATGATGAAATATTTTAAAATACTTTTTATTTTAGCTGGAATAAATTTTTGCTGAAAAAACGTTTTGGGTGTTTTGTATGGAATTTATTTTTACTGAATAAATCCTGTAGTGAAAACAAATTCTAAGTAAAAATAAAGTCTTTTACATTATTAGGTAATGCTTGCATCAAAGGCTTATTTGAAAATAGTGGAAATTAACGCCAGACTTATTTTATTTCTTGTTTCTCGAGTTTTTATAAGGCAATTTTTTTGAGGAGGGCAGAAAAAAAAATAAAACTAATACTTTTTTTCCATTAGATTTGTGTGATTCTCAAAGAATTGTAAGTGAGATTATTGATCGGAGAGAAGAAATGAAATACAATTTTATTCAATGTATAACCTTGTTTCTCATCTGCACGAGACTTCGGTACTTTGATCATGATACTCCCACGAAAATACAACTTGGGTTTGTTATGTGGCAGGCGAAAAAAAAAAAGAAGATAAAAATAAGTTTTTTTTAGCAATTTTTTGTACTTACAAGTTGGCGGGCGCGAGAAATTACGCTGAAATAAAATTTTATTTTTATTTCATTTCAGGCTCCTGTTCATTTGGCGGGTTCGCGAAACAAGGGATAATAAAAGTCTGGCCTAAGTTCAGCTGAAATAACGTATTTTACAGTAATACGACTACTGTAAATGTCATAATGAATGAATGAAGTTTATTTCACTATAAACATATATACATATAATAATATTCAAATAAATGTGATATATAAACAGATGAGTAAATAAAATTAAGTAAATAAATAATAAATTAACATACATGTATTTACTCTGAAAGAACCTGTTTTTCATTGGCAGCATGAATGAAATGAATGCATTAATCCTGTAACAAGTTTTTTGTCATTGCTGTGTGGATTAATATCTTTTTATCAGAAGAGGAATTGTTTTCATCACCAGACTTTCTCACCCAAATTTGTCTGTATTTTTTTTCTTATATTCTAGAATATTTCTGGAAATGAACTCTAATTTTAGAGCCAAACAACAAAATTTGAGTACTGGTACATTTTCAGGTCTTACTCAAAAAATTCAGCAATTTTTGTTCCAATCTTCTGAAAGAAAGACGAGACTATAAATGGGACTATTTTGTGAATTTGTGATGAAAAGAGGGAACTGGTTGTGAAAAGGTTAAATGCATGTACAAGAAAATATATAGAATACATGAGTGGCTTTTCATGTTAATAGCCCATTTTCTATTCACTGTGAGAATCGCATGTTATGCGTGAAATCGAACGTAAAAACAGGACAAACAAAGGTCATAGTATTGTAGTGGGGTCAAACATCGCGTGGGATTCGACAAACGCGAAAGTATTTTGGGGGACATTTCCATGCTTAACAATGTGCTGTCCACATTTGATGATAGGCAGTTTCGATTAAGTAAGGGTATTCGGAAGCAATATTCCACTGTCGAAGATTGGCCGGTCGGTGTGAGCTACGAAATAAAGAAATTTAAGTTCAAAATCAAATCGTTTGATTTTTGCGGCAGACGTTGGACGCGCGTCTTTCATGCATCTCGCGAGATCTCGCAATTGTACGAAAAATCACCTATTGTTCATTTTTACAGACACCTTCAAAATTCCTTGATTTTCCAGAATACTCTACAAACGAACAAACCATTTTAAATCAATATCAGCTTCTTTGGCTTCCCACATTGTTTTGAATCTGGTCCAACAATTACTGTAAAATACTCTCACTGAAAAGACTTGTGGTGTTTTGTATGGAATTAATTTTCACTGATTTTTCACGAGACAGAATTGAATGTAAAATATAGAAAAAAAGGTATATTCGCTGGATTTTATTTTCACTAATTCATTCCTTCAGCGAAAATAGCGAAAATTAATAACTCCAAGCGAAAATAAAGTATTTTACAGTATTACGCTAAATAAATGAACGGTAAATGTTTTTGTTATGGGATTAATTTCACAGATGTATCTCTCATGCGTAAATGAATTCTGGGTAACAAAAAAAATTGGTGGAGAGTTTCAAGTCTGATACAAGATACTGTAAAACATCTCATTTTAGCGGCGATTAAATTTCGCGATGTGACAATTTTATAGCATTCCGGGGACAAAACTTTGCAATAGCCGCAGCGACCCACTGTTTTAATAGTATCTTCGGAGTTATGAAATTTTGTAGTTCATGCCAACTTTGAAAAATTCTTTCTCATTAATATATAAAACAAATTCAGGTAGAATGGGAAAAAGTTTGTTTTCTGTTTTCAGAATATGTTTTGTAGAATCAAATAAACCTTAAGTGTAAACTGAGAACAGACTTCTCAAGTTAGAGTGAACCAAGTGAGTATTGGTCACCAAATCCGGGAGGAGAATAACACACTGGAGAGGAGCACTTGTGCTTATTGCTCAACTGCTAGGAGTCTAAATACTCACGAGATGTTCCATACAATGTATCAATATCATTATGCAAATAACTAAACTAAATGTCATAACCTCAAATCATTACAACAAGCATTGTTTAGTAAATGTTGAAATGATGATCATACACATGTATCGTTTTGTTTTGGTATTAAATAATCATAATACAAAAACTATTAATGTAAAAAAAAAATTATAAAACTGTGATTTTTTTAAGTTTGCCTAGTTACCTTATTTGTAAATTGCTACAAACTAATACACTTTTTGCTACACTGGATCTCTTATGTGCACTGAGGATAGCAACAAACAGTACACGGGCCAGACAGACAACTTTACGTCTCCCATCCGAAAGTTACGCCTTTCTCCAAAATATGAATGCTGTGATGGGCATCTTGGTGGGATAGCCAATAGTTCCGGAATTGGGGACGGTGATGTAGTCTCTTGTTGCATCTTAACAGGAACATACATAAAAATGTGTAATAGATAATGTCATCATAGCTTTATTGCTGACACAAAGGTTGGCATGACATGATTTGTTATCCTATTATTAATAAAAATGTAATTAATTATTATCCTATATGCTCTATTAGTAGTGCACGGGCTTTACGTAAATAACAGTTACGGCGCATTTTGGGGCGTAACATCAAATTTAGCGAGCATGAAAGCTAGTTCAGCTGTCTGTAAAATCGCCATATACTGTGGAATACTTTATTTTCGCTGGAATTAATTTTCGCTGAAAAGGCTTTTTGGACGTTTTGTATGGAATTTATTTTCACTGTTTTTTGAAATATAGAAAAAAAAAAAATTCGTTGGATTTTATTTTCACGGAATCATCCCTCCTGCGAAAATAGCGAAAATAAATTCCAAACGAAAATAAAGTATTCTACAGTACCTAAATTGTGCATTGTAATCCATCTAAATGTCTTATATTAGTAACATTGGTAAATACTACAAACAGAAAGTTGAAATTATTCATGAAACTATAAAAATTGTATTTTGGTATTTGTAAAAGCAGTTTGATTGCAAGCTTGGAAATTAAATTATGCCTGTAGCTTATATTTTAAATTAATACTTTATGACATGATTAATTATTTTATTAAGGTGTAACAAATTATTATCGTATTTGCTTTACTAGTACTGTAGAATACTTTATTTTTGCTATTTTCGCTGAAAGGATGATTCCATGAGAATAAAATCCAGCAAATATACTTTTTTTCCTACATTTCACATTAAACTCATCAAAAAACAGTGAAAATAAATTCCATACAAAACGCCCAAAAAGCCTTTTCAGCGAAAATTTATTCCAGCGAAAATAAAGTATTTCACAGTATGTTATATATATGTCTGCAGCCAAACAGTGAAAATAATATTTGGTTTATGATGGCAATACGCTGATATCGCTGTAAATGAGCTACGGTAATTTGAAATAGTTGGCATCATCATCGTTTTCATTGGTTAATTAGCGATTTGACCTGTAAGGTCAAAGAACATCGTCGCAGGTCAAAACATGGCGGATATTCATTTCTACAGCATCTAGCGTTAAAAATGCGATCGGAATCATTCACTTATGATGAAATAAGTTGAAATTTATTTGCATTTCATAACAATTCAACAAATTTATTTTTTGCACGTTATTATAATCATTACTAATAATCAACAATTGTGAAAAGCAGCATGACCGGATTGTGCTACCGCGATCATTGCTACTAAGCAATGCAGTTAGGCTCGTTTTTATTTGAAACTTCTTTTAGAATATACTGTAAAACAGCAAGCAAGCATGTCTTTTTCGCGAATTTAGCGAGAAAACTGATTCGCTAATTCAAGATGTCACTAATGACTTTATTATCAATTCAAAATGGCCACCAAACAAAGAAATCAACAATAACAAGAGAGATTCGCTAAATCAACATTTCGCTATTACGTTATTTT